TACAGAGTCAGCCTCTTGCCCCCAACAATCTGGGTCCTCATTTTACCCATCTGGGAAGGATGGAAGGTTGAGGCAACCTGGAGCTTTACAGTAATAATCGTGGGCAACTTGGGTCAAAGCTCATGTGAAACCAAAGATAAGTTCACCTTCTGCCATGCTTTTGTTAGAAGCCGTGGTGGAACTACGGCTCTGGAGCTGGGAAGGGGAAGGTAACTGGTGTCTTTTTTCCTTTCTGCATTGATTTCACTTTCTTCAGGAAGCAAATATCACGTGCCCCAAAGGGTGATACGTTTTGCTCGACACACCCTAGAGCCACTGTTGATACAGGCAAGCTTCAGCTTGCTGGTCTCGAAGGGAAACATTTCCCCTTTTCCAAGCTGGTGGAGTGAGAGAGAGAAAGAGACCCGAGATCTCCATCGCAGAGACCAAGGAGCCTGAAAAGTGTGAAGTCTCCTCTGAACTTGAGATGCTGGAGACCCACCAGAGTGGAAGTCTCCAACCTTGGGCACTTTAAGACTGGTGGACTTCAACTCCCAGAATTCCTCAGTCAGGGTCTCCAACCTTGGGCACTTTAAGATTGATGGACTTCAACTCCCAGAATTCCTCAGCCATGGTCTTCAACTTGGGCGACTTGAAGCCTTGTGGACTTCAACTCCCAGAATCCCTCAGCCAGGAATTCTGGGAGTTGAAGTCCACAAGTCTTAAATTTGCCACTTTCACTTTCTCCCTTCCTCCCTCCCTCTTTTTTCCTTCCTTCTCTCCACCCTCTCTCCCTACCCCTCCAACTGCTTTCCGTCCCTCCCTCCCCTCTCCCTCTTCTTCCCTTCCTTCTCTCCTCCCTCCCCCTCCAACTCCTTTCCTTCCTTCCATCCCTCCCTCCCTTCCCTTTTCCCTCCCTCTTTTTTCCTTCCTTCTCTCCTCCCTCCTCCCTCCACCTCCTTTCCTTCTTCCCTCCCTTCCTTCTCCCTCTTCTTTCTTTCCTTCTCTCCTCCCTCTCTCCCTACCCCTCCAACTCCTTTCCGTCCCTTCCTCCCTCCCTCCCTTCCC